TATATATAGATTAGTTATAACTCAGTTTTTTGCTATGATTAAAGTAAGAACGTATTTTTTCCATTCAAGCAATAAATACTAGTAACAGTTTAATTGTATATCCTAGAAGATTCTATAGAGAACTTTTTGTATTGTGTAAGGTTTAATTGTAGGGGTTATATTGGAATACGGTCGGCTGTCGTACAGACAATTTCCTCAAGCTTTTATATGATAGACATTTTGTATAAAAAATTATATTAAAATTATTATTTTATTATAATTGAATATGCTTTGTAATTTTTAATATCTATAATCTTTATTCCCAAAGAGGGTTGATTTCAGGCAGGCAGTCGGTCGTAAAAACAAATAGCCAAAACTATTCACAACATGTAAGGCAGACCCTGGCTAAAGCTGGGAAACTGCCAGGTAGAAGCATATCTATAATCTTTTGTTTACGGCTGTAATAGGAAAAATATCTATTTTTGACTTGAAAAGAGATTGTTCTTTGACATCCTACGTAGTTATGAACTTAATTATAAGTAAAATAAGTAAAATTTTAGGATAAATTATTAGTATTTGAATGAATGAGATCTAAGACTCGCGAGTGTTCAAAAAATGACTAATATTTCAGAATTACTAAGCGTTATTTTATTTTAAACTACATACTCCCGACGTTTCGGTTATTTTTCGTCAACCGTGATCATTCATCTGTCTTCCTCTGCATATAATATTATGAAGTATATTTATAATTAAAATAATCTTCTTACTAAAAGTACTCGTACAACAATACTAACTTTCCGCCCGGAGCTTCGCCCGCGTGGAGTTTGGTTTATCGCGTTTCCAAGAGAACCTTTCAAAAGTCTGGGATAAAAACTATTCTATGTTCTTTCTCAAGGTCAACTCCATCTCTGTACCAAATTTCATTAAAATCAGTTCTATGGTTTAGGCGTGAAAGCGTAAAAGACAGACAGACAGACAGAGTTACTTTCTCATTTATAATATTAGTAGGGATCTTTCAAATATTAATTAATTGTGTATATGTAAACAACGTCGTAATATATTTTAAGTGTAGTTGATGAAGCAGTGCTGTTTATAAATATAATATCAATAGTATCGGCTGCATTAGACCCGCTCTCTGAGGAAGGTCGGTGCTGCACGGAGGGTGTGGCCTCACTGATCGCGGGCGAGTTATAAACGACTGGCACTGAGACCATACATTAAAGATTTGAACGTCAGCTTATGAAAAACTATTATTTACAATACTTAGGCAACTTTAAATATAATGAGAATGATATAGTGTATTATGAGATTTTTTATTCGTCATACATTTAAAGCAAAATGTGTCTTATTAGAGACGAAATAAAATATATATTTTTTAATAATAAACGCGTTGTTCTGCACAGATATAGTTTTGGTAGACGTAGAAATTTATTCGTTTTGACCATAAATATATCAAATTTAATATAAAAATACAGTTGTATCAAACTTTAGACGTTTTCATATTAAATTTCTTAGTAATCGTGGATTTAATTTATACAATGAATTTACTATTCTGTTTCTTGATGAGTTATTTACGTATCTAAGTGAATTTAGATAACTGGATATACGAAATATAATAATTGTGGATCGCTTTGAAGAATCCATCGCTAGAACTGATAATGCTGCATTAGACTGTTTGGATACTATGAAAGCTTTTATCAAAAGGTCTGCCCGAGCACAATTTAAGTGTTTCTTGAAAATTAACATAGTATTATGATCTTATTTGATTATTTCCGTGAAATAAATGAAATATAATAATTAATTATATTTTTTAAATGTAGGTAAATGTTTGAAATTTCAAATAATATTACATATATTGTTACATTATTTTGCACATAATATAAATATTTTTCCGGTTAAGTCAACGGTACATCGCAACTTTACTTTAACACGTTGTAAGGGTTAAAATAATCAACACAGAACATATAAAAATGTAGACAAAGTCGTGGTTCTTAGCTAGTATGTTTTAATATAATAATCTTACCCATCCACAATCACCCCGCTATAAGTGGAGCCGCGCCTTTAGTTCTTGAAACTATTTTCTATTTCTGCACAAAGTGTTCAGCTGCTCCCGAGCTTCAACTTGTTGGCTGTATAAATACATCACACTATAAACGATTCAATGCTTTTTAACCGATTTTGGGAACTAATAGAGAATTTATTACTTATATAATGTTTATTAGGAAGCGAGAATATTATAATTTTGGTGTACAGCTTGTATTATTGTGTTGTATTTAATGGTGAGTGTATCTTTTCGTGTTTTTTTTGATATCTCACTCAAGTTTTACGATTCCGATCGTAAAGTGAGTTCATTTTATCCTGTTTATTCTCGGTTATACAGAATTTTAACGTTTCCAATTGTTTTCAATATTGAGTCGTTTAGTTCGAAAATATGTATTATAGAATTTATTAAATAGAAGTTGACGATATTCGAACATCGAGTTCGGTCACAGTCGTCTTTTATAAACAGTGTTTGTGTTTTATTTTTATAAAAGTTTCTCTCACGAATGCAACTTTTCTCCACCGTCTTTATATATGTCCATGTTACGTTCGAATTGTTTTGAAATGGGCTTTGTAGGAATTCTTCGCTTCAAAGCTTGGAAATACTGATTTTAAAATTCCGCAGGCGTGCAGGTTAAGTACCTCAATGCATATAATCGAATTTTGCATTCAGTTTACAACAATGGGATTTATTGTAGATATACGTGTTCTGTCCGCTAAGCGTATGCGTTTCTGAACGGATCACTTGTTGCGCGCCAAAACGGCGCGTGGCAAGATGGCCGGTTCGCTTTTTTGATGGCGTCTTTCCGCGTGTGCTGTGATTTTGGCCAGAGCTCCTGCGTGACGTAGCCGACCCAGTTAGGTACGCCAACCGATGCCACGGCCAAGACCAGCTGGGCATTCCCGATGAACCAGCGCCAATATCTATAAAATAAATCGGACGACCGCGAAATAAATACAAAAAATAATAATAATGCTCCTTGTAAACGGTCGGTTTGCCGCCAAAATGTTCAGGGTGAACGCACTCCAGTGTTTTGGCAGTCGCTGTTGGAAGTTTTCCTAGCACTCGGTGTGATTCGATAAGGGATACCTAGTTTTATTGCCCCAGCTACAGTTTGTAAACAGTTCTGGATGTGTGAAAGTCTCTTTAATCGTCTCAATGTTTTTATATCGTTTTCGTTGCTAGTACTGCCTAGTATGCCTGATCCCGCCACATGTTAAGCCAGCACTAACTGCTCCCAACAGCCTCTCCAAACCCCATTAAAGTTCGAGACGTGTGAATGTGCAGCATACTGCTATTATTTTAGTATAAGTTAAGCAAATCTCTCAGCCCGCGTCACCTAACTTCAATATAGCGGCAACTTCGCAAACTGTTTCCTGTTTAGCATTTCGTTCATATGCTATGTGTTTGCACCTCTTTAGAGGCGCTGAATTTGTGCATCATTTCGGAGCGTTCTGCTGAAATGGCTTTTGTTGGAGCGGGTTTTGTTAGATATTTTTTATTTCGCAGAGTTTATATTTTTATTATAAGTTCTTTATAGTATTCAATGTGACTATGTTTTATCATTAAATATCTAGATGTGACCAAGTTCATTGACCTCCACTGGTCAAGTTACTGGCATGTTCTCGGCCTATCTCTGCCAGTGCCACGTGTCGGGTCCTGGCAGCCCAGCAGCGTTCCGTCTAGCCAATGTTTTGACTGTTCTTGTTTATAGTAAATTTTCTTGGAAGTGTAATCATTTAGCGTATGATTCTCATTGATGCTTCCGTACGTAGGTGCTTGTGTACTAGTGTTATGGTTATGTTATTTTTGGTTTTATTGCGGTTCATATTCTCGTTTTACGTGTTATACATATATCTATGATTGTTGTGTGTATGTAGGACGTCGCAGTCACTTATTAAAACACTCGACAATGTATCGAAGGGAAATCGTGATTGTTTAGACATGACAAATCCTCAATATATTCAAATTTGAGTTCTGAGAATAACCCACTTGATTCCTCGAACAATTACGTATGCACCTAAAGCCGTCTACCGTTATACTATAAAATGGTTGTTAAATTTTGAAAAACAATTGCAAATTCCAATACGAGGAGGAATAAATCAACTGCATTGAATCATGCATACATGATTAGATCAAAATCACAATGCATTTCGGTTTAGTTAACTTTCGTTCTCGAAAGGTATTGAAGTACTTATAGAACTTCAAACAGAGATTCCACTGATTATAATATTAATAAAATTTATAATTTTTCTTCAATCTTAAATGGTTTTAGCAAAAAATCTGAATGAATTTAACGCCTTTCATATATTTAACAATCTACTCGTAAGTTTTGATATAAAGTATGTAGCAATACTTCGTTACTTTGTATTTGCAGAACATATGAAAATTATGTAAGATAGAGACTTTGAAACGGAACTTTTGAACTGAAATTCAAATTAGGTTAACGACACGAACAATCGTAACAGTTTTAAATATAGATAGATGTATTAGATGTAACAAAAAGAGATATTCATTAAAGATTTTCATACTAAAAAATAAAAATAGGAAAAGTATATGTAGATTTTTTTATTTCTAGAGAGTTTAGTCAGTATTTATTTCATTTTATTCCATTATTAGATATCTTTAAAATCATTGAATCTCTAAACGTCTATGTAAAAAGTTTATTCATAGAGTTGAGTAAGATTTAACCAATCCAACTTGTACGATGCGACTTACTTTGGCCTCCGGGTTCTTTTGTTACTTTATGAATGCTTTGTATGTAAATAATGTTACGAGTGCAACAATAATAGACGTAAATCTACTGTGTTAACTTATTATTAACATTTATATGAACTATTAATGTGAAAAAAAAATTATATATGAAAAAAAATGGTCCCATTTCGGGTGCCAGTGTCCTACAAGTTATAATAACTATTTTAAATCCGGTTGATTTCTTGAATGTTCGCAGGACGAGTTCCATCCGTTCATAGAGGCCCTGATGCCTTTTGTAAAGTCCTTTTCGTACACGTGGTTCAATTTGCAAGCGGCCAAAAGGAAATATTACAAAAAGCACGAGAAACGGATGAGTCTTGAGGAGGAGCGACATACTAAATATGAACTACAGGTAATTATCATATATATTACATAAATAATGAATTGACGTTATATATGTAATGATATAAGTAAGTATATAAATTGTTTGCATTAATATTCCAAGTATACTCCAAGTAAAATACAAGCTAGCAAGTTTCCAGTCGACTTATCAATATTGCAGGTCCTACGGAATTCAATTTTTGAAATGTTAACGAATTTTCGCGATGCGGAAGATACAAAACAAAGATGTCTGCATTCGCAGGCAGTCGCAATGCGTCTATCGGTAAAAGATATTCGCGCTACGAGTGCTGAATACCGCGCCAACCCTACAACAGATATCCTAATTTTGATTAACTAACCCTCAACCACCGTAATATACGAGGGTGTTATTAAAAATTATTGTTTAATTTGGTGTTTGTATCGCCATATTTACGATGTACTTTACTTTTATGATGACGTGGGATGGTCTTTATGCATTTTGCTATTAACGCAGATGACAAAGTGAGCTGACTATTCGATAATCAAGCTTCATTTTAACTATTAATATACGGATATTATAAAAATATTATATATTTCAGTATACATAGTTGATATATATGTAGAATATTCTTCTTCCTGGCAATTTCCCAGCTTTAGCCAGGGTCTGCCTTAATTGATATGTAGAAAATTAATATTAATTATTGAACGTATGTATACGTGTTATTTGAACGTGTGATGTCTTCAGACTGATAGATGAATCTCTTCATGAGCGGTTGAAGTTATTAACAGTCTCAGATTAATTACTCTGATTTAATAAAGATGGCTCGGGTACCCGTCCGTCAGTTATATCAGGGAGAAAATTAAACTAATGATTCATTAATATGAAAAGTGGTTGGCTTATTTATATATATTGTACTATCATGACATATCACAAAGGTTTTGAGGTCCTGTAAAGAATAAGGATTGTTTTTGTATATAAAAAAAAAAATTACGTAGTTTCCTTGCTATTGGCAATATTAAAGAAAAAAATAATTTATCTGGTTGAAATTTTGTGTCGTTTAAAATCCGTGCTGAGCGATGGTCCTAATATTTTCAAAATATTATAAAATGACACGAAAACTAAAACGTATTTCAGAACGAGAAAGCAGAAGTGAAACATAAATGGGCATCGAGGTTATTAGGGAAGTTGAGGAAAGATATCACGCAGGACTGTAGGGAGGACTTCGTGTTGAGCATCACCGGAAAGAGACCAGCCGTGTGCGTGCTGTCCAACCCGGACCAGAAGGGGAAGATGAGGAGGATAGACTGCTTGAGACAGGCTGATAAGGTGAGCTACAACACTTACAGGCTGGACCAGAAACACGACTATTGAATCATCACACTACATACGAACTTTCTACAGTATTCCTTGAAGAATCTTCATTAATACTATCCTGGGAAGATATCTGTTAATGAGAAATTAAAGACATTATGTAGTGTGAAGATGCAAAATCGTTGTAATGGGTCAAATCATCATAATAATGAGGGTTTTTCTCGTTGTAGGTGTGGCGATTAGATTTAGTGATGGTTATATTGTTCAAAGCGATACCCCTAGAGAGTACGGACGGTGAGCGTCTAGAGAAGCACCCCGAGTGCACGCAGCCGGGGCTGTGCGTCAACCCCTACCACATCAACGTGTCGGTCAGGGAACTCGACCTGTACTTGGCGAATTTCATCAACAGCTATGGTAATGGAAGCGACGGTCTGCCAGGTCTCTCGCTCTGTTATATTGCTTTACGACTACTGCTAATGACTTCCAATAGTAATCTAATTGTTTCGATTTCAGCTCGTCAATTTAGTGTTAATTGTCTTAGAATTTCATTAATTTAAAGAACTCATTGGCAGTAGTTATTTTTTTATACGTAGCGATAACTGCATGAATGCTGTATATCTCTGTACTGTCAGTCTGTGTTGATACCGTGGATGTGTTTCAGATATTCTTAGCGGATCTCTGTCGCCTCACCCCAATAGGGACAAAGAGAATGAACACGAGGCTAAGAACAAAGGTAAAACCGGCTCGTGTCGGTGTCGTGTGGTGTCGTGGTCTTGGCGTGTCGTGTATACATGATGCTCTCATTATATAATATATTAAATATTAAATATCTCTTGGGTTTTTTTGACTTTAATTCTGTTCTATTCAAGGATATCCTCTATATATTATGTAATGTGAGCGTCATCGTTAGAGTCATTAAACATTTTTCATATAAGTCCACTCTAATGTTGATGTCTGTTTGTTTGCACTTGCTTTTGTTGTTGTAGACTGTGTTCCTTCTCTTTCTCAATCTGTATCTCAGTGTAACTCTTCACAACTATTATCCACTGATTACTTTCTATACGAAGGATCTTTTCGATCTTTTTGCTATATATAGTTTCTTAATAAAGTATTATAGTTTGTATATAGACTTGGTTGAAAGTATATTAGCTGTAAACAGTTACATTATGAGATAATTTTTCCGGTGTTATTTTAAATACTCTATACAGTTATCTATTCATTTAAGATAGCACCGCCTGTTGTTTTAGCCGTGTTTTGATGTATGTCTTGCCGTCCCTAGCCCGCGGTAGTGCCCCGTTGCGTGTGTTTGTCTGTGTGTTCTATAATATCTCGATACGTGGGTTACAGGGTATACCCATAATCCATACAACGGTGTTATTTGCAACGATATCATTTTAGCGACCGGTGTCTTCTCTTCGAAGGAGCTTTGGAAGCTGTCTAAAGGTTGGTTCATTATCACTACACGTAATTTTCTTATGATGCTAGGCTCTAGATTGTCATTGTCTGTATAGACTATAGTGTATAGTATGAATTAAATCAAAATTTATTTGTCTCCTATCAAATGTTTGACATATATTAGAAACTATGTTTATTGCAAAAAAAATATCAGAAAAATTTTCCATTACATTTCTTTATAATAATATCTGTGGATGTTTGTTTAATACTATATGTACTAGAGACCATGTTTATTGCAAATTAACGAAAATTGAATAACACTTATATTTTTCCTCAGTAATTCTTTTCACGTAATTTATGGCTATTTGGTCATGATTCTTAATAAAGGAATAACACTTATATTTTTCCTTAGTATTATTTTTTACATTATTTGTGGCTATTTGATCCAGTTTCTTAATAAATTTGTTTATTGTTCCAGCGTCTATCCTCCAGGAGACGGGCGCGGAGTCCCCGGGAGGCTCCGGCGGCGGCATTAAACTGGAGTCCACGTACTACGGGTACAACAGTCCAGCGCCGCCCGCCTTCGACACACAGACTGACCGTGGCACGCCTTCCACTATGCTGGTTGGACAGTGCTTCAGTGAGTAACTCATACACCTTGGAAGACTGATCTATGAGACGAATGCATGTGAGTGCTCAGTGTGAGAGAGAGAGAGAGATAGAGGGAGGAGAGAGAAGGAGAGAGACAGACGAAACTTCTGAGCATTCAATGGATTCACTTGGTACAGGGTCCATCGTTGTAGTGAGAGGAGCTTCAACAGTGACTGTGACTTGTGACCCAGGTGTAGGTTTAAGGGAACCTATCTAACGCGCGTTAAACGCTCACCTCCACTGTCCAAGCTCCTCTCTCTACCAAATTTAAAACGAACCTACTAGGGCTGCCTTCGAAGTACATTCCAAGAATAATGTTAGTTCTGGACAGGCCCAAGTCTTTTAGTAGGTTGTAGAAAGCCTTAATGCCTTATAAGTACCCTTATAATACAACTATCACTTTATTTCTCCTTAAATCCCATAATATGTTTTTCTCATTCATTCATTATTATCATACAAACGATTTAGCGAATTAGCGTCACAGCTTACATTACAACGACCTCAAATTTTCCTATATAGTGTTTGTAATACTAAATCATCGGCCCAAAATGAATATGTCCAACCATATTCGCCATTAATTCGTACATATAACGATTGTTCAATGTATCTGTTCTGTAGATCTTGGTAACAGACACACATACATATTATAATGAGTGTTAGTGATTCCGTCCGCGTGCGCGCGTCGTATGCGCGGTGTATGCTCGTTGAATCATCTTGTTATTAGGCTACCTCCAGTTCATTGTTTGGGTCGATGACTTTATTTAATTGTTTGTGATATAAATTGAGGTAGGTTTACATACATTTAAATGTAAACTACATTTATTGCATTCAATCCATGTAACGATTTTTTTTTTAGATAAATAGAATATTCTAAGTAATCGGATAGTTTACGAAAATATATCATAATGTTAATTTGAATATCAAAAAGGTAACAAGTTATGGGATTATTATTAATGAAACATCAAATCGATAGTATCAAAAAATTCACCGATTAGTAAGGACATGATAGCACAGTTATCAAAGTGACGGAAACGTTATGCTCTTTTAGTTACAGGTTCGAATTTCGTTCTTATCAATAAATAGTTCAGAGTATATTATCAAATTGTTTTGTATTACTTTCTTTCTCTCTCTATATATAATGTGTATTATCATATTATTATAATCATTTATATTTATATGTGTAATTGTTCATTTATATTTATTAGTATATATGTATGTATTGTATGTATCTATTTATATATGTATTAGTGTATATATAAGGATAACGCACTACCTACCTTCTCGCTGCACAATTTCCCCAAATCGAAGGTTGTCTGGCAGAAATTGCTACATAGCGATAAGACCGAATTTTTATACATTTTAATTTACTATTTTTGTTTCGTGTACAATTTTACTGTTTGTGGAGTAGAATGAAGTTTGCAACATTAAGGAACACTGAAAATCAGTGTGGAAGCAACATTGCTTCTATTTTTTTCTGAGTGGTTCTCCTTTTTAGATTACACTGCTGCACAATTATCATTATTGTTATTGATTTTTATTTTGTTGTTTGTTTTGTAGTGGTGTAATCTTTTAACCAATAAAAGTTTAATTATTATTATTAAGTTTATTCTCTCTCTCCGCAGGTATCCCCCACAGCTCGTCGGGTCTGAGCGGCCAGTCGCCTCTGGTTCCTTCAAACACCATCTTCTATCAACACGCGCCGCCCGCCGACACTCACCCCACACGTTAGTTATATATTATATAATAATTATTATTAAAATGTAACTACTTGTGCTATATTTATGTATATTTCTGGTAGATACGATAGATCTTTTCATATTTTATGTTGAATTTCCTTGTCGTTCCCTCAGGATAGTTGCACTAATGTTATTTTGTGACTTTTTATGTAACTGCTTTTAAATCTCATAATTCAAGTAAATTATCGATATATTTGTCACCCGATTCTGAAGAGCCAAGCGAGGAAAGTCGCGGACCTAAAGTCGTATCAGTAATATCATCTAATGTCTGTCTGTGTGTAATTTCAGAGTCGGAGTCTCTGAACCAGCACGGCAAGTATGAAGGAGGTCAAGACTCGCTCGGGGACTTCGTCACGTTCGTGTGTCAGGAGCCGCCTGCAGACGTACAGCAATTACAGGTCTATATATATTTATTTATTGCTTCAGAAATACTATCGGAATATTCACAAATCATATTTGGGAAAAAACATAAAAAATCAAACTTGTATAGTGTATACCATTACAGGTATTTAGTATTTACATTTTACAACTTACATGTTAACAAAGGTAATTAAACTCTCTACACTACACTCAAACATTTAATAGCAACTGTGACAATAAATTTTTAGACAAAGTGAAGAAAAAAAAACAACAATAATATAACTAATATCCATTCTCTATACACCTTTCACCCAACAGGCAATATAGGAGAAATTCCTCAATCTATAGGACTCATTTTGTATTTCACTATGTACAATAAAGCTTCTTGTGTTCTCGGAGAACATTGAATACGAATAACTAAATTGCTATATTGGTTATTATCTTTAAAATTTTATGTACAAAAAATAGGTACTTAATTCATAATTATAAAAAATGCTGTAAAGTAATCTATAACCACAAAAAAGAAAATTCAAATATTTTCTCTAAAAACATTATAGTTTTATTTTAAAGTTACTAAATTCTTCTCGGTTTCCAAAAAAATAAATTTTCAAGGAAAGTTATCCCAAAAACATCCAACGACAGTTTGTAATGAACTATTATTAACCTATCCTCCATCTATCTATCTATCTATCTATATCTCTGTATCTATCTCCAGGTCCACAGCCTGTCTCGTAGTCCCAAGCCGCCCTACTTCAGCAGTTCCATGCTGCCTCCGCCGCCCCTCCCGCCCATGGCCAGACCCGTCACCATCATAAGATCAACGGGTATGTTCTACTATCTACGAGTATATCAAATTAATTCCTTATATTTATATGTAAGATGATTAATTGCCAATAGTCTTATGTAATGTGCCAAATAATTTGATGCTTCACTTCAATATCTAAGATTATAGTTGCCAGTACTTGGTCGTGTTAACTGTACCACTAACTTAGTTTTCCGATCTTTCCTTCTATGTTTGAGGCAAAGTAAGTAAAATCCATATAATAATGTTATGTTAATGTGTTCTATATGTATTTCCAGCGAGTGAGGGTGGTGGGGGCGGCGCGTCCCCCTCCTCCCCGGAGCTCCGCTCGCCCCCCGCGTCCCCGCGCCGCCGCTCGCCTCACTACAGGGACTGCGCACCCATCAGCCACTTCAACCACTTCCACCAGCCGCAGCAGGTATACACACACACGCACACACACACACACACACACACACACACACGCACACATGTACACACATACACCGTCTCCTTGTAGCTCTCGTGAAGATCGCTTAATGAATGTCGATCATTTAAAGTTTTTCAAAGTGCGTTATCCATACCAAATTCAGAGATAGCCAAAACTATTTATCACTTCAAGTTAAAATAAGACATAATTTATAATTTTTTTAATTATTTAAGATACTTTAAGGTTATTATTAGATACTTTGTGTTTATTGTTGGTGTTGGGATTATTATCAAGGGAACGATGGGACTGACATTTATCTTTGTCGCTAAAAAGTCCCAAAATAAAATCCGATAAAAAAAATGTCGATCTTCTTTTTGACGTTCATTCCTTTATAGATAACATATCTGAGTATTACCGAGACATATAAAAGATCGATATGGTCTAGAGGTTAAAGGTCTCGTATCTCGTGTATGAGGGCGCGGGTTCTAAACCTGACAAGTACCAATGAGATTTTGCCCAGTGATATGTATTCTCTAAGAGTATTTATACACCACTAACAGATACAGAAAAACGTGAGGAAATCTGGACTTATATCAAATTATAAGTTCGAAATCGCCAAACCGTCTTGAGTACGTGGTGATTAATGCTTAAATCTACTCCATGTGAGAAGAGGTAGTTCAGCAGTGGGCTCTGATAGGCTGATGATGACATATAATAAATATCTCTGCATATTAATCTATTATTATCAGTAGTTATATTTCTTCCAATATATTTTTTCCAGGTGTTCAGTTACGGTGCTGTGGGGGGTAGTTCTCCCCCGGGTGGCCTCGGTCTGTACGCGCCCCGAGCGACCCCACGCGCCCCACCACGGTAATACACACTAACATATTATATACAGAAAAACGAAAACAATCGATTAGCATTCATGAGTCAAACCTGGACAATGTACTATGTTAATGTAGTTACTTACTCATTCACGCAAAAACTACTCAATGAATTATAATGAAAATATTATAAGCTGTATGATGTTTTAAATATGAATCTTAGTGACGTTCTTTTTAAATTTTAATATACAAGATAACAATTTGTTTGTGAAGTTACAAAATACTGACGATAGATGGCGCTGTCAGTTGGTTACATCTACCCTTTTTTAATTTAATTTCAAAGGCTCCAAAAAGAAATGGAAATAACACTAATTTTTTCTAAATTATATATGTCGTAGTATTTTTTGTGTTAGTTTGTTGTGGATAGTGTTAATGACTACTACAGTTATGACCCCTACAGATGGAACGCGCCTTTCCCCACGCTGGACGACGAGTTCAACATCATGACCGCGCCCGCCGGGCCCGAGCACGTCGTGCTGCTTGATGACGGTAAACATGACGCACGCGCACACGCACACACACGCACACACACACACACACACACACACATACACACACACACACACACACACACACACACACACACACACACATACACACACATACACACACAGTTGATACACGAGTTGGGTCTTGAGTAGTATTGACAGGGGGGGGGCTGTAGTACCACATAACACCAGTCAGATAAATTCGTGGGCTTTCGGCACGTTATCTCATGAAGACGTGGGTCTAAACAGTCGTCTTATCATTAGAATCGAGTACGATACACTAAAATGTTCTTGCTGGGCATGAGGGTAGTGGGATACAGATATATCTTTCCTTCTTGTTCACAACAGTAGAGGAGTAGAACAATCTCCTGCATCTATGTTTCCAAATTACATATAATTTGAGTGTCAAGACTAGAGTGACTGCGCTGTTACTGTGATATTTTGTTCACTACCCCCCACTTTATTCCCCTATAAAATTGAGTACTGCCATTCAAACGATATTCTTTAAAAATAAAAACAAAAAATACTGATCAAGTTCTTAAGAATTACTAGACTTCTAGTAGAAGTATAGATGTGCAGTCTAGTTTCCTCTGAAGTAGTTAACTCCTATTATTAGTGGTGTAAGGTCTCATAAGTGGTAGTGTTTCAAGTGACCATCAATAAGAAAGTGTAATGCTTCAAAGTTATTTGAGTTCAGTTAAGGGGGGGGGGAGGGTAGTTATCATCATACTTTTCGCTCGATGGTTAATCCTGGATCATAATTGTGAAGTGTTCTACATTCCAGAGCGGTTCTTCCAGTCGAGCGTGATCTCGTCGGACGGGTCGGCCATGGACACGTCGGGCGCGGGCGTGGGGTCCGTGGGGTCCGTGGGGTCTGTGGGCGGCGGGTCGGAGGGGGCTGAGCTGGCCCCCGACAAGCCCCCCCCGGAGCTGCGGTCCCCGTGATCCCCGCACGAGGCGCCCCGCCCCCGCTGGACGCCCGCGCCGCCGCCCCACTGGCGCCCCGTGTCTCACCGGACCCCATGACAATAATCTGCTCCACTGTTGTCGTACTGTAAGTGAAGCCACCACATATGATGGTTGAGATCGGACTTCCATTGACACTGACACTTTGGGTTTGTTCGGTCGTGTCCGGGGTCACTTCGCTCCCCACAGCCGGTCCCCGTGCGGCCGATCAATAAATTATGTAAAAAATATGACGTTACCGTATGTATGTACTGTAAAACATATATTCTAATATTTTTATAGAATATGATCGAGCCTTCCAGTAGTTTAGTGAGACGTTATATCTGCTTATAAAGGATCCGCCCGGGCCGGAGCTCGGTGTGATATTATGAATTGTTTTTGTTTCATTGTTGTGCGTCTACTCGACCTAGTGTAAGCGGATAGATTAAAGGTTTTGTTTAACTTATTGAACGAATATATAATAAAGACGGAGCCTTGCTTATGATTACTTAGAGTAGTACACGCCGGTCCTCAACTATTGCTTCGAGCGGCTGTCTGTGGGCGTGTGGAGAGTTAAAGTCAATTAAGAGAGCTCGCGTCGAACCAATAGCCGTAGATCCGTGGATATTATAATGGGTGCCTTTACAAAATGATAACGTATATTGATAGGGTATTGTAGCGTTTTGTTTAATCCATCCATTTAACTGTATGTCTCATCGTATCGTGTAACCAAAGACCTATCAGTTCAGTCTCGCTTGTCGTCCCCGCTCCATGTGTAACCCGCCTTATATTATTCGTTGTGTCCTCAGCCTTATCTCGTTTCGTCGTTCTGTTCGAGTCCACCCTACCCGCGGCCATAAGTGAGAAGCTAGTCATTAGTGTTACAATGTAAATTTATTGTACTTAAAAATAGAGAGTATTTACAAAAAAAAAAACTCCTTACGTTTACTAGTAAGGGAGAACTAAATTCGTGGCCAAATTACACTTAATGAGATCCAATATATATACACAATTTTTAATAGATTTAGATTTAAGCGGTATTTCATTGATTTGTAGGTGATTTTTTTTCGGAATTATTCTTTTATAATCTAATATTATATGTATTTTCTTTCCGATTTTTTTCAACGACCGTAGTTTTTCGTTGATAATTATCTTTGTTTGACGTTCTTTTTACAATAAAATACTTTGCCGTAATAATTAGCGTAGCATAGTGGAACTAGCAATAAATGACAAGCAATAAAATATATAATATATTATATAAAGGCTTTAGTGAAGCTAGGTCCGTACTGAATCCTCTGGTGTATTCGTATTGCCGTATATTTAAGACGTGTCGATGGGCCGAGAGTCGGAGAGGCGGGGATATAGTCAATTGATAGATATAGATACGTAGATGGATAGATAGTGACGTCACCGACACAGAACACTCGGGACATTTACAGACTGTGATCCAATCGTTGATTCAGCACGTGTCTTATATTGAAATAGTATTTTGTACGACACTCAGTCACCGTTACATAGTGGTGCGTTTTGTGAGATGTACGTTTATTATCGACCTGTATAGATTCAGTAGAAATAGCTTCGCAATAGAACCACGCGACGGGCGCCTCGCTCGCATCGATATGAACCCGGGACCGTCCGCGCGCCGGCACCGCGACCACTGAACCATCGCGCCTCGAGCCAGCGATGTCAGCGACGCCGCCTGTCGTCACGTTTGTTTAACGAAAGTTGTGTTAGCATCACGTTACGGTGTGGAGTAATGGAGCCTAAACATTATGTGCCTTAGATACAACAATATTGTATATTTACGATGCGTTCTATACAACGTGCTAACTAGAAATATAAAATGTTATTATTATTTTAAATGCCTCGTCCTCTTACCGTCGTTATTGTTTCCGCGGAGGCTTGTCCGGACGTGTGTCGTGTCCGGGACCCGTTTCGTTGTCCCTCACTCCGATAGTTGTGTTGTCGGACGGACCCCTCGTCTCATGTTAAGTAAGCTTCACGCGTAGTCTCGCTAATGATAATGTATCCCATCATTTAGTACTTACCCTATACCCTTACCTATCTATATCTATATGCTTGTATAAGTAACGCGTTATCTATTAGTATCGCTTTATTTTCTCTTATCTATATCTATAGTTTCCGCGTCGCTTCTTTGTATCTATAATCGTTTATATTTTTCATCCTAAAGTAAAATCCGTCTTAATAAGTTTTTCTTTTGTATACTAACTTACGTAATTAATTGTAAAGTCGTAACTTAGATCCTAGTTATGTTTTAGTTGAACGAATTCATTTAGCGAATTTAAATTGTATTTTATGTTCGATGTCATTTATTTCTTTGTAAATATATTATTTATAATTTTCTTATTTCTATATCAGAGTTGCTATGTTTTCGTTTAGATATCTCGGTAATGTAACTCGCGTATTTTACCATTATTTTGTCGCGGTGTTGCCGCCATGTTTTTTTATTTTTTCCCTTTTATATAACGATGGTTTAAACTTTGACTTGTTTCATTCTGTATTGTGGTACCGCTTGTGTGAATCGGGCGAGTGTGTCAATACAAGCACACTCGCGATGATTCAGGCACGCGTCTAAACGATAGACTTGTAAAAATGTTATTACATGTATTTTTAACCTATACATAGTAAGATATTTATAGAATTTTGGTCGTTTAATTATTTTGAACGACTTGTTATAAAGAAAATTGGTGCTTAAAGCTTAAACAAAATGAACAGTCACGAGCTGTGTATTGTCGAAGGATGGAGCATATAGCATGCGTTGTTATGCTCATTTATGCGGAATTATTGAAAACTATTTTCGAAAACAATCAAATTGTTTATATAAATATGTTTTAAAAAGGTTAATTATTCACAATTAGTTTCCCGCGCTGTCACTCACGCACACAATGGGTTCTTTGTATGTCGAGTTGCGTTTCGTTTATGCATTAAATGTTTTATAATGCGATGGTTTTAAATGATTCCGTATTAAATAAGCAATTATAATAATGTAGGTAAACTTTGCTCAATAACGATGAAAACTGAAAGTGTTACAGTTGATGCAATACAAAGATACATATATAGTTGTTTTATTTGATTACCCTTTACCTGTGCTATTAGTTTTTGCCATAAAGTATTAGTTTTTGTTTTGGGGATTAAAATTCAAGATAATTGTTTAATAAATGGTCCTTTATTTTTTTGTGTCGAATTTATTTGTCATCAAGTACCAACAGTTTACGTAGTTGATATCTCAAAACAGATCCGTTGCAGAGAAGTAAGTATTCCTTACATGATAAAGGTAGCAAACGAGCAGACGGCCTAAATGATGAAGGTATTTACCGTCGCCTATGGACATTTGCGATATAGTTTAGAGGAAACGGTGGGAATAGGGAAATAGGGAAAGGGAAACCGGCTCTCTAACTCATCAGATATAACGCAACTATTAAAGAACACCAGGTTCCGAACTATTAAAGACTACTTCACGCCGATCTTCTGTGAGAGGGTGGTACTTCCTCGAGCCAGCACATGTTCGAGCTGTAATAACTTTATCACTAGTAGACAGTACCACCTGAAAATGTATATAATTTATTACACACAAGATACCATAATTGGAGAAGGTCGCCAAAGTAAAAAGCTGCCTTTTCTCAGCAGTAGACTCCGATACAATGATGAATATAATTGAAGTTGTAGAATACTTTTTGATAATATTTTATTTCTGATATCTTGTTTTTTTAAAGGCGTCGGGGATATCAAAATTGCAAATTGTAATACTGTTAATTCTCAAAACAAATATGCGAGTTGTGATCTCATACTATCGATATTTTTTGTTCCGTTTTAATACTTTTATACAAATACATATTTATATGGATTTTCGTCAATAGAGCTTTCGTTTAAAAAAAAACCTCTACACATCCAATCCACAGGTAATCATGAGATTTACATTTGACGTAAGTAACGAGGACTTACTGGAATCAGGGCTTAAGTTATCTAACGAATTAATTATCTATATTATTATATTAGTTATCTATAGAAGGAAGAACTTGGAACACAAACCAGCTCGTATTCAAGCATAAAAAATGGCTTGATGAAGGAAATACATTACAGGTTGGAGTCTGTTGTGTGATGCACTGACTCCACGTAATTAAGTTCCAAAGATTTTCTCCATAAAAATATAATGTTATCTAAGATTTTTAATACTACGCGTCTACTAAGTTTTTTGATAATATTAAGCTTAGTATTCTTATCCTTAGTAAAGTGCCCCAGAGCAGTGGCGTGCACACCATAGATGCAAATAAGCACTGCGTACCCTACGTATATAACAACTAAACCTATATTGTTTAATTCTTACTTACATACTTTTAGTCATACATTACGAAATACAAATGTTTACAGAGATTAAAAATACATTCGATTCATGATTTGTTAATGAGTGCCATCTATCAATGTAAAAACGAAACATTTTCGATCGGCTCCTCCTAACTGCTAGCGCTGCTATGCAGCCACAGCGGCGATATGCACAACCACTCTCTGCTTATTTTCCATAAAGAAATTCTCAAGTAAGTTTTAATTAGTAAACAATGGATTAATTTATTAACGAATTATGGAAAATTATAGCTGTGACCTCTGTGCTTGTTATATGTGTTTATTGAAATTAGTGACCTAGGCTAGTGCACAAGCCTTAAAAATGAATGAAAAGTGAAAATAAATTATAGTACAACGAAACTCATTAGAAAAGGAGGGGAATATTATAAAAATTAAGGGAAAAATAATTTAAGGTCGAAATGCTCTTTCTAATTTGCTCTTTCTAATTTATTATTAATAGTTGTGTACTCTGGTACTCCAGATAGTCCCTCTTTTAGGAAATTTACAGAAAATTGACATTAAGCTGCTAAAACTATTAAAAATAATTTTTCCAAACGATATCGAGTGTCATTTCATTAAAAAGGACATCATTATTTTATCCAAAAATGGTACTGCAAGTAAGAAAATTATATATTTTTTTT